GAGGTATCCCAATTTATTAACTATTTTAATCGCCTTTTTTTGTAATTTAAATACAGTCTCAACACACGTTTTACCTGCATTTCCCCAAACCTCTGCACAGTAAGACAAATAAGGCATAACTAAAGAGCTATAAATCAAAAACAAGGCTTTTTTATTTAGTATATCAATAGTTTTATAAAGTATAGCAATAGATTTAGACACTTGCTGTTTGATATATTCAATGTGTGGTTTCCAACTGAGTTTACTATCAATAGTCACACCTAGGAATTTAGTTTCATGTACTTGTTCAATTGGGACTCCATTTAAATACAGCTTAGCACCGTCATTGTCCCTTTTCCCTGAAAATATCATAAATTTGGTTTTATTTTCATTTAGTGATAGCTTGTTGTAATCAAACCATTTTTTAACCCTTTGATACATAATGGTCACTACAGTGGACAGGTACTCAAAATTGTTATTTCTTTATTTTTGCTATTAAGCACAGCTGTTGAAGACTTTATTGCATTTGAGCCCCTCCATTTGGACTTCAGTAAGTCAAGCCAACATATTCCATGTTCAGAATGCACGCTGTCCACTGAGATGGACATGTAATAAATTATTTGTAAATTAACAAAATGTTACAAAAAATATTTGTTGAAATTTGTTTCATTCACACCTAAAGATGAATGAAAAAAATTGTTTAAAAAATCTTGGTTGAAGATTTCATAATCCATGCATCAGAGGGTTAATTGAATCCAATTCGTTTTCAACCTCTTGTAATAATTTACTCATATCTTTTCCCATACAAATGAAATTTGTATCATCTGCAAACATAATAAATTTTAACCGAGACGATACAGAAAAGATGTCGTTCAGGTATAGGTTGAATAATTTCGGTCCTAGCACCGAGCCTTGCGGTACACCACATATTACTCTTTCAAGCTGTGAATCTATATCATTAACATTTACATATTGAAATCTACTGCTTAAATAACTTTCAAGCCATTGATTGGTTTTACCACGAAGACCATAGTATTCACATTTCTTGAGCAGGTATATGTGATCAATTGTATCAAATGCCTTACTCAAGTCAATCAAGACAGCCACTACATGAAGTTTTTGATCCACTGCTGTTGCAATCTGCTCTACCAAATCCATAACTGCTAATGAGGTTGAACGATTCTTCCTAAACCCATACTGATGGTCATTTAAAAGATCAAACTTGTTGGTAAATGCTTCAAATCTAATTACAAAAAGTTTCTCAAGTATATTTGAAAACTGTGGCAGTAAAGAGATAGGTCTATAGTTACAAGCTAATAATTTATCACCACTTTAATAAATAGGAATAACTCTGGCTATTTTCATTTTTTCAGGGACTGTGCCACTTGAAAATGATTTATTACAAATATAAGTAAAAGGTTCAATAATGCAATGGATAACCTCCTTCATGAGAGACATATCTATCCCATGAAAATCTAAGGACTTTTTACTTTTGAAACTATGTACCGCTTGGATCACATCACTTTGGCTTACACTGCTCAAAAACATTGTATTATTATTTTTATTTATTTCATGGTTAATGTCAACTTCTGGCAGCTTTTTAGCTAGATTAGGGCCAACATTCACAAAATATTTATTAAACTCATTTGCAATGTTCTTTCCATTTTTATTGTGAATATCTATACCTGCTTCTTTTGTATTTCTTATTAATTTATTTAACACATTCCATGTACCTTTAATATTATTTTTGTGTTTTAGGAAAAGCTGATCATAATATTCCTTTTTTTGCTTCCTTATTATTGTAGTTAATTTGTTTTTATATTCCTTATACCTTTTTTCTTTTTCCTTTGTTGGATTTTTTATAAAATCCAGATACAGTGATTTCTTTTTCTGGCAAGCCCTTTCCAATCCCCTAACAATCCAGGGTGGGGACCTTTTTTTTAAGTTTTGCTTATGATATTTTAGAGGACAATGTCTATCATAAGCTCCCAAAATGAACACTGAACACCTAACATGAATGCAGCTTCTGAGAGCTAGCTAATATCAGCTAAAACTGTGTTCTGCTGCTCACCTTCCTTCTTGAAGAATCTAGTCAATACTTGCTTCTGTTCGATTAACTTTTTCTCCTTCTCCTTCTTTTCTTTTCTGGAAGCCAGATTTCCCTTTCTTGGGAAAAGACATGACTGACTCTCCTGCCTCCAGCTCTGGCTGTCGGCATCTGCGATGTCTCACTAGCACATGCGGCAGTGCAGCCCCTGGCCGCTGGTGTGGACTAAACCACTTTACACATTTTTAAGGGGTGATAGATGCCTCAGAGATTATTCAGTTATTATTTTTAAGGCGAAATTCTGTTTCTTAACCTCTTTGTCCAGGTAAAGGGAAGTTTATTAAGACATTAAGTAAGTTGGGGGGAAAAAACAACAACAATAAAACATTTTTATTCAAAGCTGTCTCAGGGCCCCTCCCTGCAGTGGACCCTGGGTAAACGGTACCCTTTCCCCCCCCCAGTCCGACGCCCCTGGTTTCCTTTTCCACTTGGGGTTACACCCCTTTTAGGGCTGCTCGATTATGGCAAAAATAATAATCACGATTATGGTGACTGAAATTGAGATCACGATTATTTAGGATGATTTTTCTATTTATGTTGATTTTATTTGTTTTTATTCTGTCATAAAACTGCTCAGGGCACAATCAGGACAAAAATAAATAAGAAACAAGATGATCACTAAAATAACTCCTGATTCCCAGTATAAAAAGACCGATATACTTTTAGCCCATAGTCTATGACCCAAGGGCTATAGACCTTGGTTTAACTCATTTAAGTCTAACCAGTACAGACCCAAATACCAATATCTTGCAAATACTGACAGCAAGAATTATACAGTGGCATTTATAACAAATAAACGCAAATAAATTGATGTTCACAAAATGTTGCATAACATTTATTGAGTCGTGTCAAGGTGCTGTATGAGAGTGCACTAGCACCGTGTCCTCAGAGAGATTAGTTATTATTCATCAGCATGAGGAAGTTATTTCTACCTTATTTATAAACTATTTATTTACAAGTCCATCAGTTAATGTAATAATTGTCCCAACCACAGCTGCGCCCCCACCCCCCAACCCAGTCTCAGCAATCGGGGCAAGCTGCACGTGTGTTTAGCACACCGCACACGCACATTTAGCCGTTTTTAGCGGCTCAGGAGTCCGCAGGTGCGGTGTGTGTGTGTCACTCACTCTGGTTACTCCAACAGGGAGCCGGCTCCGAGAGCCGTTTCTTTAGCGACTGACACATCACTTCATCATTCCCTTTCCTAATGTCCTGAAGAACGGTCCGGAGCGCAGGCGGAGTGTTTAGCTAACCTGCAGGAAATGTCGACGACAGTTATCCAGAAAGTAGCTAAGGGTTACCAGAGATGTTTCTGAGGTGTTCTAGGTACTTTTAAGATTTAAAAAGTCAAGAAGGGGGTCTGAGAAGCTGCTAGAAATGGCGTCAAAGTCGCCAAGTTGGCAACACTGTAAGGAGCGCTTCATTTGCTACTCAGGGCAGCGCAAGCGGGAGGAGCAAATAATCGGCTTGTTTTGTTTTTTATAATCGTTCAAAACTCAGATCGTAATTGTGATTAAAATTCGATTAATTGAGCAGCCCTAACCAGGGGCGGATGTAGGACTGAAGAAGATCCGGGGCTTAACACACACACGCACGTGCGCGCGCACACACGCGCGCGCTCACACGTGACACGCACTAGTCATCATATATATATATATTTATATATATATATATATATATATATATATATATATATATATATATATATGTCTTGTACCACATAATTTTTAATCTGAAGCTACATATTAAGCATATTCAGGGCAGAGTATTGTTCCTGTTAGTGTTTAGTGTGAGATGATAGTAAATATTCCCTTTCTTTCCCCAACAACTTTACCTGATAGTAAGCTAACTTTAGGCAAACCAGCAGCACCACAAATATTTTCAAATAAGACCCACAAACCTGAGTCAACACCAGTCTCATCAAAGCTGGGGTTCTGTTGTTGTACTTTTGGTCTAAAAAACATCCTTATGTCCATCTTCACTCATGTGTTTCAGGCAGAGACTGTAGAAGAAGCCGGCTGCTGAAGGGCTTCTTCTTCAGTGGTGGAGGCTCAGGCAGGCTGTATACAAACTACTGCCAGCTGCGCCCTCTCTGTTGGACTTTGGTACTGCATGTTACTTCCGCGATTTAGATCCGGGGCTTATCATGAAAGATCCGGGGCTTCAGCCCAAGTAGCCGGGCCTAACGCCGCCCCTGGCCCTAACCCCTTTTATACCAGATTGGGGCCTGCCCACTAGGCAGGTGTGTACCAAAAGCTCTTCAGTGATTAGGTAATTTCTCTTTGAGTTAGCCAGATAGTGAGGTCTGAAAGGACAAAGCCTATATGAAGTAGAACAGGGTCACTTTTAGGCCATTTCCAACAGCAACTCAGTCTAAAACAGCTTAGGACAGCGTGGGTAATGCCAGCTCATCTCAGACTTGTTGGTTTCCCCGCCAGCTCCGAGACTAGAAGTGGACGAGGCCTTATGGCACTTGCAGGGGGAGGGGGACACGATCTCTACTTGACAAAAATAGCACAAGGTGATCAGTAAACAGTGTGAAGTGATCTGTAAGCTACACAGGAATACAACTCAACACAAAAATGTTGCTGACATTCTGCTCAGTTTTATGGCTTTTTGTCAGACTCTGAACCAGCGATTCCACCCCATAGCCAATCAGCTGCCAACAGTCCTGATGCTGGCCCCGCCCAGCCCCTGGAACCACAATGAAGCAGGAACTGAAAAGTAACGAATCGTGCTGGAAAAGGTGGCCAGACCAAACCAAACCCTCCCAAGTCACACTGAGCAGTGCTGGTGGAAGACGACTAGTCAATTAATCATTTTAAAAGTTACTTAAAAATGTTAAACTAAATATTCTAGCTTTAAATGTAGATGTGTTGCCATAGCAACCCTTGACGTGAACCTCCTCTTGCAGGTATGCCGTCTCCATGGCAAGGAAGATCGGTGCAAAAGTCTATGCTCTGCCTGAAGACCTGGTAGAAGTCAACCCCAAAATGGTGATGACCATGTTCGCGTGCCTGATGGGGCGGGGCATGAAGAGGGCTTAGCAGTGCAACACACACACACACACACACACACACACACACACACACACACACACACACACACACACACACACACACACACACACACACACACACACACACACACACACACACACACACACACACACACACAGTTTGATCCATGTTTAGTGGGCTTCCTTTCAGATGAATCAAACATGTTGATGTGAGGAATTTTATTCAGTTACATTTTTCTTCGGAATAATCAAACAAAATAAAGTTATTCAGCTTTTAAAATCTCATTTTTACAGTGGAGCTGTATGTTGGTTGCAGTGCATGCTGGGGAAATCCTCACCTGTGGTTGTGTAAAGAAGCATCCTGAATCACACACAATATTTGGCAATTTTTGGTCTAGTTTGTGTGACGGGCCTTTCCCCTCATTTTTATCTCTGCTTTCCATTACTGACTCGGTTGTCTCAGCTGTTCTCGTGTCCTGCTGAACACAACATAGTTTCTTCGTTAGCCGGGACAGTTGGAGGTTTTTAAAATCTGTACTCTAAGTTTATTCTCTGTCTTATGTAAGCTTTATAACAAAACACAATAAACTTTGGGTAACTACATTATAATGCATTGAGCTATTTTTGTGAGACATCAAGGAAAAACCTGTAAACACAAATAAAAACTACAAACCCTGCACTTGAAGTTCTTATTTTTAGTTGCAATTTTAGCCCCTGGAGACATTTTCAAACCTGCAAAAGTACACATCTGATTACATGACAACACTTAAATGTCCTGCATTTCATAAAGTGCTTCTAGAATCTTGGAACCCCCCCAAGGTGCTTTACAACACAACCAGTCATTCACCCATTCACACACATATTCACACTCTGATGGTGATGAGCTACTTTGTAGCCACAGCTGCCCTGGGGCGCTCTGACAGGGGAGGCTGCCGAGCAAAGGCGCCACCAGTCCTTCCGACCACCACCAGCAGGTAAGGCGGGTTAAGTGTCATGCCCAAGGACAAAACGACAGCAACAGACTGAACGGGGCTCGAACCTGCAACCTTCCGATTACGGGGGCGAGCACGTAACTCCTGTTACACCGTCACCACAGTTAATCTATTCTATGACAAAGTCTGAGGACCAAAAAATTCATAGCTGAAAATTGTACTTCCTGAACACAGCCTCTGTTCAGAGAAATGTAATTTATGTCCAACAGGACTGACTGGCTAAAGCCGTCTTAGACAAATCTCTTGTGAAGAGAATCATGCCAAAAAAACTGTGAACGTGTAGTGATTTGAAAGTTTGTGGCTGTCCAGCATGACCAGCTCTTCAACAGCTTGTTGAGCACTGTCACTACCAAATACAGCCTCCAACAGTCTTCAAGCACTGCTTGAAATCCTACAACTCCCATCTGCAATGCACCAATGAAAAGACACCCAGGGATTGATGTGAACAACTAGTGATGAGAGCACAATACAAGAGTAGAATTTGCAACATTAGAGGTGAGGCAGAGGGGAGTGAATTGCTCCACCTGCTGCCATTTCAATCCAAGTTTATTTATAAAACGTCAAATCAGGATCAGAGTTGTCTCAAGGACCTTCACACAGTAAACATTCCAATACAGGCCAGTTCATTAAGCCAATCAGTAAAAAGTTTGCTATATAAGGAACCCAGCAGGTTGCATCGAGTCACTGACTAGTGTCAGAGTTTTTACAGCAATCCTCATACTAAGCAAGCATGCAGCGACAGTGGAGAGGAAAACTCCCTTTTAACAGGAAGAAACCTCCAGAGGATCCTGGCTCAGTATAAGCAGTCATCCTCCACGACTCACTGGGGATCAAGAAGACAGAGCAGAGCACGCACGCACGCACACGCACGCGCACGCAAGCACAAGCACACACACGCACACACGCACACACACGCACGCACGCACGCACGCACGCACACACACACACACACACACACACACACACACACACACACCATATGCAAAGTAAAGTTTCTATAGTTATATTGTGATTTCTTAGTAAATATTCTATTTGGTGAGAGATAAACTTTATTGTATTTATCCTAGTGAATCCATAATTAAACGGGTAAACTAGTAGTAGCACATTCAATGTCAAAGAAAGCAAAAAGTTATTATCAGGAGAGGGAGAATGTTTAAGTGGTTAGCAGCAGTGTGCTAGCCAATGGCCCCCGTCCATGAGGCCATCACAGCTCAGCAGAACATCATTGTAGCTTCTTCTGGGGAGAAAAACACTTAGAGAAAAAATAAAGTTAACAGCTGAAATAGCAGGAAATAATACAGTTAAAGAGCAGATTGTAGAAGAAAGTAGTCAAGTGGGGAAAGTGGTCAGTATGTCCTCCAGCAGTCTAAGCCTACAGCAGCATAACTACAGAGATAACTCTGGATAACCTCGCCTTTTAGATGAAGGCATGATGGAGGCAGGGCAAGGGAGAGTCGTCTTTACAGACTGTACACTCCACCTCCCTCTACTCCCCCACTAGCCCAGATGTAGGCTAACATCAGATTTTAACCATAAGCCCTATCAAATAAAAATGTTTTTAGCCTGTTCTTAAAGGGACTTTACGGAGTTTTGAATTTTTATGCTCGCGATTGCCCCCTCAGGCCAAAAGCGTAATGGCAGCTTCAATAGTAGGCTCGTGCACGAGGCGCGCATTATGTTCTCCTTAACGAAAATAACAGCTGAGACAGTCCCTTGTGTGGTGTGTGTGTGTGTGTGTGTGTGTGTGTGTGTGTGTGTGTGTGTGTGTGGCCCGGTGGACAGAGAACAGGAGAACGTGCAGCTAATTAATTAAATAATTTGGTTCTGTACCTTCCTCTTCAGCACAGCCGACAAAGGTTTAAGATGGGTCAGTCCTCCTGCATGCTCTTGAAAAATTGCTCCAGAATGAAAGTAGAACCCACATGTTTTTTATCTGTGAATTCAATGCTGTTCGGCGAGTCTCAAATAAAAATTTGGGCATCTTACTGTAAAAAAACATACCATTAATGTAAAAAAAGAAACTCTAAATAACCCATGTACACGTCCAGAATCGAACTCAGGTCTTCTGCACAAAAGTCTGACATCTTACCAGGCGTGCTACAGCGCCAGTTACATCAGTTGCATCTGTGACATTTATATCTTAGCTGACAGCTGAAACAACGTTCAAAGAATGGTTCGGAGGGCTGTGCCTGAGCGTGAACGCGCATGAAGCAACCTGCTCGACCCGAGCATCTCTCTTTTTCTGTGATTTTACAGAAAAATAGGCAATCACAGTAAAAATGCCAGGGCTCATTCTACAGGACCAGGGCATTGCGGGAGAATGTATTAAGAAGAAATTTATTATTTCCATACATGTTTTGGCTGTCAAACTTTCATAATGCCCCTTTAAAAATAGACAAGGTGTTTGCCTCATGGACTAAAGCTGGGAGCTGGTTCCACAAGAGAGGAGCCTGATAGCTAAAAGATCTGCCTCCCATCCTATTTTTAGATATTCTGGAAACCACCAGTAAACCTGCAGTCTGAGAGCGAAGTGCTCAGTTGGGAACGTATGGAACAATCAGGTCACTGATGTATGATGGAGCTTGTTTATTAAGAACTTTATATGTGAGAAGGAGGATCTTAAAATCTATTCTGAATTTAACAGGCAGCCAATGTAGGGAAGCTAAGACAGGAGAGATATGATCTCTCTTTAGCATTTTGGACACGCTGAAGACTTTTAACTACATTCTGTGGACTTTCTGAGAGTAATGAATTACAGTAATCCAGTCTTGATGTAATAAATGCATGAACTAGTTTTTTAACATCAGTCCTGGAAAGGATGCATCTAATCTTAGCAATATTCTGAAGGTGGAAGAAGGATATCCTACAAACCTGTTTAACGTGGGATTTGAATGACAGGTCCTGGTCAAAGATAACACCAAGGTTCCTTACTTTGCTCTCAGAGATTAATGTAATGCCATTCAGGTCAGGTGATTGACTAAGCAATTTCCTTCTCTGAATTTCGCGTCCAAAGATGAGAACTTCAGTCTTGTCTTGATTTAAAAGCAGAAAGTTTTGAGTCATCCAATATTTTATGTGGTCAAGACAAGCCTGACATTATGGCTGTCACTGACCAGAGAAGCACTAGACAAACTGGCCATCAAAGCAGTGCTGTTATTTCGATTGCTAGGAGGCCTGATCACCCTCATGTGTTTATTCCCGTCCGACGGCACATTCTGGGCAAAGTAAATCCGTTTTACGGTATGAAAAGTCCAGACACTTGCCGTCTGAAGCTGTTTTTCCATCTCGAAAGAACAGTAAACAGAGTGTGCTTATAAGCCACATGATTCCTGTAGCTAAGCAAAGATATCATTCTAACTTTAGCACCACGGAAGGTGAGCACGAAGCAAATTACATGCGCACGCATTATACCAGCAAATAATGACGAGAGCCGCTGAGAAACTAAAAGGCAATCCATCCGCCGAAGGTATTTTTTTTATTAATTTGAACCACCTAAAAGAGCTTTTGAGCCGACCAGCTGAGGTAGCATTGCTAATGTTGAGCACGTGGAGGTCATGCCACTGAATCTGATTCAAGGGGCTTTATCAGCGACAGACTGCAAATCAACTCACAATCCCCTCGGGGTACAGTTTGGCTAATCAAACAGTTGTGTTTGAGCCTCCAATGTCATGTGCCGGGGTGAGTGCTCCTCTCATTTTTGTTCCATCTTTGAGCTGCTGTGTTTCAGGAGAGGGAGGCTCCAGCTGCAGCTCATTAACAATCAGCGGGTCCAGCTATAAGTGGAGGAGGAGGGGAACACATCTCGACCCCGGATGATTAACTACAACTTGGTAGTTCCAGCCCTTTGTGTCTCCAGGTTAACTCTAGTGATTTTTGGATTTTAGAACCCTTGTGGATATACTT